CGAGCTAAAGATCAGAAAATTAGGAATCGACTTCAAGTTCAAAATTCCAACAACGGTCAGACAATAAATGCAGCACCGGAAACCTTACAGACATTCGACGAAGCACCGAATAGCCTGAAGGATTGAAGGAATCAAGAACAGAAGCCATTCCAAGGTCCCGTTACACCGACTGAAGGTTGGGACAATCATATCCAAAGTATTCCAGACTCTTCTATAAAAGAACGAGGCTGAAATACTTTGGAGGGGGTATCTGTAGGCGTATAAAACTGCCTATGGGTCCCTTAGCACAGCTCGGCACGGTGATTCGACAAACCAACGAACCATCTGGGCGATGAATCCAAGAATGATCGTTAAACCACAATATCGAAGCTAAATGAGACGCGATGAAGCAGATTAATGAGGTGACGGGGTTAACGAATCGCACGCAAACGACGGTACGGGTCGATCAATCAACGAATCATTCAACCGTAGAGTCCACTACATCAATCAAGATCGGGAGCGGACTCGAACGAATCAAGATCAAATCAGGATCCGAGCTCAAACTCGAACACCGAAGCGGATTTACTGCCAAATCAGAGTTCAGATCAACAAATCAGAGTTCGGATAAACCGGAAAACAAAAAAAACCAACATTTGGAGGACTCTCAAAACCGAGCCACTCCCAGGTGGCTCGGCCAAAGCCGAGCCACCACCTGGTGGCTCGACCAAAACCGAGCCACCAGGAGGTGGCTCGGTGCCTCGGCCACCTTCTGGTGGCTAGGTGGTTCGGCCACCTGTGCCAGGGCACAGTGAAGAGAGCCTATAAATAGACCCCCTTGGCTCATTTTTGTGCCTATAAATAGGACTTGAGGGCTCATTTTTTGAGGTTGGAACTTTTGGAGCAGAAACTCTGCCGGATTGAGAACTCATCTTCGGATTTTCAAGCTTAGAAGACTCGGACTCTCAGATCTGGTTCTTGGCGATCATCCAAGCTAAATAAGGCAGGAGTTCGAGAGAGATCAGATCTGAGATCTACACGGTTTCCCTCCGGATCAAAGCTTGGCCTTTGATCCCGAGAAGAGTCTCGATTTCGCTTGGTCGATTTCGATAACTACGGGCTATTATTTCCTTGGTGAAATAATCCCCTCGGCTGTTATTTCCTTCGTGAGATAACACCCGCTATACCGTGTAGATCCGACCGGATGAAGATCATGCTGTGGTCTACGGTTTAACCCCGGCGCAGGCGAAGAACCCACAGAAGCGAGAGACCGTAAAACAGGATCTCGCGATTTGTTCGACAAAGAAGGAAAGTTGTAATCTTTATTTTTTCTTTGATCTCGTTGTAACCGGATCTTATAAAAAGATCGGATCTTTGTAACCGATAAACTGTTAACAAAGTAATCAATGGAATCATTAACGAAGAAAACAGTTTTTCCTGCGAACAATCTGGAGTAAGGATGTAAATGGATTCAGATAATCTGAATAAATTCCACATCCGTATCCTCGTGGATATCAATATAATATAAAAGTATCCTAACCATGCAAATTCAAATATGGATAATTAAATTTGCTTTTGCAGATAGAGACATGAATATGAATTATCTGATCTTAGATATATACCCCCAATTCTAAATCTATTAGTTTTTAGACAATGACCACATGCCATTAGACAACCTAAGTCTATTAACACAATTTTGATTCACTTAATCTTTACGACCTTGTCGCTTCTGGTTTCTCCAAATTATTGACTTTTTTTCATTATGATAATTGTTTGCATCAATAGGCTTAATATGCATATCCATCATACTAGAAATCATCAATGCTCATGTCCTTTTTTCGTTTTAGTGGATATGATACTAGATTTCATTGTATAATTAAACAAGAATAATTAATAATAAAAATATATTTACTTACATTTAAAATCAAATAATTATGGGATAATTATATACACAGTAAAACGTACTAGTTATACTAATACGACAGAAAATATGTAATAGTTGAAATAATACAATAAATTATATACAAAAATACGTGATTAATAATACAAAGTATTATACGAAATAATACATAATAATATTAACAATACAACATATTATTTAAAATAATACGTAATAGTACCGGTAACGTAACAATTTAATTCTAGAAAATTTTACTGCACAAAATAAATTTATAAATAACAAAATCCTTTAAATAAATATATAATCAAAATTTTAAATCATAGAAAATTATAGAAAATCGAGAAAAATACAAATACTCTTTTTAAAAAATAATAATTAAATATTTTAAAATACCGAAAAATCATTTTAACTAGTATCAAAATTCACGGTCATTACAACAATAAATAGATAAACACAAATACTAGACACACAACATTAGTTATAAATTGTTTGTTAAACATCATCAAAACAAAGAGGCCAACAATCTCCCCCTTTTTGATGATGACAAACAATTTACAAAAAGGATATATGCATGAAAGTAAATTAACATATAAGTTACAATAATCATGCATGTAAGCAAACAAGATAGATATACTCACAATATTTCTCCCCCTTTGACAGCATCAAAAAGGGGAAAAACCATAAAGATGAAAGAGAGTGAAAGCTCCCCCTACAAATAAGCATGGATGAGTATAAAATAAGTATAGGGATTGCTCCCCCTATCAAAATGCATTATGGAAAATATACAATAAAGATCAAGGCAAATATATGTGAGCAAGCATAGATAAAAAAATATGCTAAACACCACTCAAAAAATATATATAATGATGACACATAATGATATGTCATTATAAAGTTAGTGTCTCATTATACTAACATAAAAACCATGTATAAGAATAGATTTATGAAATCAAAAGAATAAGAACATGAGAATCATGCAAAAAGTTTTCAAATGAAAACAAATCAACCAAAAGAAATCATAAATCAAAGTTTAAATCCAAAAACGATGTTTGATCAATAAAGAGAACTTTCTTTGTATGACTTGATCAAACCACTCATAGAATACATTATAAAGCATATATGACATTTGAATTATCTATTTGTGCTATATAATGAATTCAAAAGAACAAATCAAAACAAAATTTTCATAGTTCAAAAGTGAGATTACAAAACATACAAGAATCATGAACTATGGACTAAAAATCATCTTTAAGAGTATAAAATCAAACCATCATTGATTTTCACAAATGAGAGGCAACCATATCAAGCTCTTGAGTTTGTTTCAACCCATATAAATATTTCAGTTGTGGACCAGCTCCCCCCGGTCCACTAGGTCAACAATGGCCAAGTTTTTTGCTAAACAGAAATAGCGTAAAAAATTGGGACAGGTTTAGCCCTGACTCAGCTTTAAATTATTGCCAAACAAGACCTAAGCTAAAAAACCTAGGCCATTTCTGGCCTAGTTATTCGCCAAACACCATTTTAACCCTTAACGGGTTAGAGTCCACTAACCAAGTTAAGGGGATTTTTCCAAGACAGCCCGCGTATCAAAAAATATCAGAGAATAGTAACAACACAAGAAGATGGCCCAACATGATATATTTGGTCGTGGAAAGGGCATGTGATGTTAGATTTACAAATCATAATTTTTAGCTCAAAAACCCCTCCTGAGTATAGGGATCATCACAAAACTCCTCTTTAACTTTTAAATTTTATTAGAATATCCCCTTTAACTTTGAAATTTCATCAGAAAATCCCACTAATTTGGTGTGTGGGGGTGGGTGTGGGTGTGTGTGTGTGTGGGGAGGGGGGGTTCTTATATAAAACCCCAAAGTTAAAGAGGATTTTTTAATAATTCCTAAAGTTAAGTGAGATTTTCTTATATTTTGAAAGTTAAGAGGAGTTTTCTGATAAATGGAGGATTTTATAATATTTAGTCGAGCTTTGCTACATGGACCCAAAATATGGGACTAACATGGGGAACATGTGAGGTGTTCCCCTCCTATTGCATAATGAGCTGGTCATCATTAATGATGATCAACTCATTATGTAATAGGAGAGGACACCTTATTTGTCATGTTGGTCCCATATTTTGGGTCTTTGGAGAATTTTTCTATTTAGCCTTTAGTACAGTAAACTTCTATTTAATAAAGGATTTTTTTTTAATGTTGGGACTCAATAATTTTGATTGGGTTCGATAAGGACCGTTCAGCAAGACTTCAAGCACATTTCTAGAGTTCAGAAAACGTGTCTGTTGAAATATATAGTTGGGCCTTTGTCTGAGGAGTCAAGCCTACACAAAGCCCAACGTAAATATAGGAGCCCATTGTTACATATCTAATTTAATGCAAGTATAGAAATCTATAATTGCATTATTTTATGCACCAAAATTAAGTTAAACAGAACATTTTGACCCGAGTGTTGAAATTGATCCCCTTGTTAGATATCAAACCAAATATGGTAATGCTTAAATGTTGTAATGGCGAAAAAGGAAGTAGGAAACGAAATACTTATTCAGTAATAAATATCACTGGTTCAGGAGATAATTTGGAGGGGATGTATTACGGTTTTTCTATAGAGTGCCCATGAGGATCCTATAAGAGAGGAGAGAGATAGAGAGAAATAAATTATACACAGAAATTAATGCAAATCAGGGAGACAGTTATTTTTCTCTCTCTTCTCTTTTATAGAGTGTCCATAAACACTCTATAAAAAAACCGTTTTTAATTAAGATTTTACTCTTTTAGCAATAATTTTAACATTTATGAGATACACATGAATGCAAACAGTTTCCTCAATGTAAGGACCCTACAGATCTCTGCATTCAAAGAGGCTACTCGGTAATCGAAGCATCACCAATCAAACTAGTCGCTTAAAATTATTTGCATCATACGCCCCCAAAGCCTTGCAAATATACCCTCATTTCACGCCCATTTCGCACGACCCTGCAATTTCCAAATAGACAAGGACCCGTGCGGAAGAAACCCAGTGGGAAAACGACCAGCCGGTAAGATTTTTCAAATTTCGAACCCCAACGGTTCGATACCCAAGGCGTTATTTAAAAAAATATAAAACCTCTTCTTTTATCTCCTCAAAACCCTAACTTTTTCTCATCCTCACAAAAACCCTAGCCCTTATCTCTTGTTTTTTTTTTTCTCCTCCTCTTCCAAGATCCAATCTTTAATGGCGAGAAAGAAATCCTCAGCCATTTCAACCAAACCCCGCGAATCCGAGAGCCCCAGGGACCTCTCCCCTGATAACAAAAAAATGGACAACCTCAAAACCCTAAACCAGCTGCTCATTCAAGAAACCACGGAGAAGCGGGTCCGGATCGATCAGCTCAAAGCCCAGATCGAGGACGTCGAGGAGTCCCGGCCCTTTGTTTCGGATCTCGAGCGAGAGGTCCGCAGGATCGTGATCGTGTCGGCGCTCGCTGACGCGGCGGGAAAGGCGAGAGCTTTGCAGGAAAGACTGGGGCTTTTGAGCGGAGAGAGGGAGGGGATGAAGAAAGAGCTGGAGAGTGTTGCTTCGGAGAGGGGCTTGTTGAAGGAGGAGGTTGAGCTGAGGAAGAGTGAGGCTGGGGGTTTCGAGGCGAAAGTTAGGGTTTTGGAGAAGGAAAATGTGGAGATTAGGGAGAAATTGGGGGAAATGGAGGTTGAAAAAGATGAAATGGAGAGAATATTGACGAAGAAAGAGGAAGCCTTCGAGTGTCTGAGAGAGATGATGGAGGATGTGGAGAAAGAGAAGGAGGAGATCGGCGAAAAGCAGCGGGCGGAGATTAAGTCGATTAGGGATGAAATGGAAGAAAAAGTTAGAAGGATCGAATCGTTGGAAGAAGAGGGTCGTAGAGCTTTGGCGGTTAAAGAGAGATTGGAAGGTGATATTAGGGTTTCAAAGGATGAGCTTTGCATGTTGAAGGGCAAAGAAGAAGGGTTGAGTGCTGAGATTCTTGAGTTACAGGAGAAGAATGGGGAAGCCCGTGAGGAGATTGGTAAGTTGCGGGTGAGTCTTTGCATCTTGGAGAAGGACGAGGAGGAGAAGAAGAAAGAGTTTGAGTTGAAGATTCGAGTTGTTACCTCGGAGTTGGAAGAATCGAAGAAGAAGATAGAAGAGGTTTCACGAGAGAAGAATAAGGCTTTGAAGGAGAAAGCTGAGCAAGAGATGGAGATTCTTGAATTGAAGAGAGAGGTAGAAAAGCTTCAACTGAATGAAGGAGAAAGCTGAGCAAGAGATGGAGATTCTTGAATTGAAGAGAGAGGTAGAAAAGCTTCAACTGAATGTGCTAGAGCTTGAGATTCTTGAATTGAAGAGAGAGGTAGAAAAGCTTCAACTGAATGTGCTAGAGCTTGAGAAGACATGTGGATATTATAGTGAAGAGAACACCCAGCTGCGTAGTGAGAACGATGCAATCAAGAAAAAGGTTGGTGTATTGGAGGAGGAGGTTAAAGACAAGGAGGAGGAGGCTGAAGCAAAGATTGGGGAGCTTACGATGAAGTTGGACAGTTTGAGTTCGAAGATCAGAGAGATTTCAGTGGAGAAGGATCAGTTTGAAAATGTGAAAACAAAGCAAGATGTGGATATTGTTAGATTGAAGAAAGAAGTAGAAAACCTTGGCTTACATGTTTCAGATCTTGAGAAGAAGAGCATTCAGCTTCAAGATGAGAGAGATACAGTTGAGAGGGAATTAGGTGTTCAAAGAGAGGAATCGAGAAGTTTTTTATCGCAAGTTCGTGAGTTAAAGAAGAGCAAAGATGAGTGTCTGAAAGAGCTCGAGGAGCTCAAGGCATCAATGGATGCACTTGTCCTAGAGAAAGAAAATGAGAAGTCTCTCATGATGAAGAAGATGAAAGATTCTGAGATGGTTTCCGATAAAGTTCTCTCGCTGCTGAAGACTACCACGGGGGCTGTACATGGAGGTGAAAATGCTCAAGAGAATGGCTTTGTCGATGATGATGATGAGAGGATTCGTCCATTCGCAGAGGAGATGGAGAGGATTAAAGGAGCTTTTAAGAGCAGAGGAGAGAAGTTTGAAGAGATGTCCATTCGCAGAGGAGATGGAGAGGATTAAAGGAGCTTTTAAGAGCAGAGGAGAGAAGTTTGAAGAGATGAATAGAGAGATTGAGGTCTTGAAGTAAAGGAGCTTTTAAGAGCAGAGGAGAGAAGTTTGAAGAGATGAATAGAGAGATTGAGGTCTTGAAGAAGAACAAGAAGCAGCAGGGGTTGTTCATGTGGTTGTATCCGGCAACTACCGCTCTTGCTGCAATCTCCTTTTATGCAGCGAGGGGACGGTAAATGTTTTGCTCTGCGTTTGGTATTTTTAGAGATATTTGAGGAACCAAGGCAAAAGAGTAGGATTAGTTGAGAGTTTTTCTTGTTGCTGAAATGATCATTTCATATGTAATCCAATGTTTTGATGCAAGGATAAAAAGAACCTTTGTTGTTTCGTTCATTATTTGATCATTGCACAGAGCTGAAGTTGTGCAGTGTTTTCTCTCTTGATTTGGCCCACGTTGCATCACATGAGAACGGAAAGCAAACTCTTAGGCTCCGACTGGATACCTTGGCATTTTACTTTTTCCATGATATTTTTGTCAAAAACAAAATACTATGTGTTTAGAAACTATAGTGTTTTTTGAACTAAATTATCCTCCAACCAAAAACACAACACTTATTTCAAAACACCTTTTAGGTGTTTTAAGTTTGATGTTTTGGTTCTGAGTTGGAGAATGTGTTAATATAATATCTAACAATATATATTAAATGTAATTAATATAGAGTTATTATCAACATGTTTAAAATATTATACTATACTGTATTATATAAAATAAATATTATAATACATATTAAAAACTTGCGATAAAAAACTTTGCTCTTCTTTTAACTCATGAACTTGAGATAACATATAAATATCAATACTTAATATGTTAATAATGTATTATATAATAAATAAATAATAATAAAATATAAATAAACTAATAAAATTAATAAAAAATTAATAATAATATAATAATATAATAATAATATACTCTACAATAGTATAATTGCTATAATATGTAAAAATAATATATTCATAATATAATAATATTTATTAATATCATAAATACTAATATATTATTAAAGTACTATTAATAAACTCTAACATATTAAAAACTATAATATATTATATAATATTAAAATATTTATAATATATTAATTTATGAATAACATACTAGTAATAACATAATATTAACATTATTAATAATATTATATTTTATGAATAATAGTATTATATTATATTATATTAATAATAGTATAATATTATATTAATAATAAAATAACATTATTATAAAAATATTAATATAATATACAACAATAACAAATTGATATAAAAAATAATTAAATATATAATTATTTGAAAATAATATGTAATAATTATAATATAATATAACTCATTAAAGTACAATATAGTATTATAATACATTATACAATATTATTATATTACATTTAATACTTATAATACTATAATAATATAAACTAAATATTATAACATTTTATTTATAATATATTTTATTGTAATTAATATATAATATATTAATAATATGAATACTAATATTATAATGAGTTAAACTAGTGTTGACCAAAAATACTAAACATGGTATTTTGAAAACATTTTAAGGAAAAAACACAACTTCGTGGTATTTTTTTACAAAAACACAATAAAGAAAACACCATGGTATCCAAAACGAAGCATTAACATTCAGATTTGTTTAATGAGTAGACTGAAAGTTACAGTATATAACACACAGGCTTCCAAGAGTTTCAGATATCAAAATGAATGCGACCTCTGATATAATACTTCTCTCTCCTGAATCAAAAAAACTTTAATTTGCCTGCATGAACCAATTAGATATCTTAAAGGAAAACCTAGGGTAGAAGTATTTTGACAAGATGATTTCAATAGCATAACAGAAACAAGAAATATGACTTCGCTTCTCAGGTTTCTTACATTGTTTCAGTCTTATTTACATGGCAATGTAAGCTGACTGCACCAAGAAGATGCTTACAAATATTTACACCATAATCATACTTAAATATTCTTTACAAAGGAATTGAGGCCTCATCATATAGGGTAGTCTAGATGATAAAGATCTCACAAATATAGAGTACATGATCTTGATCCCCTTTGTCAGTGTCTCTCCTTATTAAAGCATCAGGGAAGTGTCCTTTGCTCAGCCTGCTGCCGTCGATGGCGTTTATTGTCAACAACGGAAGGAACTGCATCGGAGCCCGAGAATTGCCATCTAGCAATTTGACAATCCCAAGAAGAGCTTACAAGCATAGGGTAGTATGGATGCCAGCTACAGTCTCTAATCACAGCGTTATGAAAGGCGAGTTTTGCAACTTGGTCTCCAGTCACCTGAAATAGTGTCAAGATAAACAAATGCAAAACATCATCTCATAACATTCTCATATATCATCACGTTGGTAGTCTATGCAGTTTAACAAGTGAGAAGCGTTTCTTTACCCACAATTTGAACTGTCTAACTCCTAAACTCACATCAGTTCTTAATTGCAGATTGCCCTCCAGTGCCATCACCCAATTGTAGACAAACCCCATTGTACTATATCACTGAACTGTGGATAGACCCCTGAGTGAATTCTTTCAACTCTTTTACCCTCATGAGGCATATTTGTCACCCAAAAAAAATTTCTCTTTCTCTGATGGTAAAAAGAGTAAAAAAGTCACTCAGAGGGCATATCTCCAACTATAGAACTACAGGGGATCTATGCGCAATTGGGCAATGGTACAGGGGGTCCATCCGCAATTAACCCAAAAGAAAACCAAAACATTATCGTATCGTATTTCTTGTAGGGATCCCCCCCCCCCCCCCCCCCCCCCCCCCCCACACACACACACACCAACAAATCGGTAGAATTATCATTTGAAAAGGGTCTATCACACACCGTAGGCATATAAAATAAACCTTATCATCCCTCCCAGATACTTAGTTCAAAGCCAAAACGAAGGCCAGGGGGGGGGCGGGGGGGCGGGCAGCTCATTGTTTTAATATTTACAGTTAATGGTCTCTTAGAAATAGATCAGTTTCAAATGGTGGATATGGAAGCACTTCTCTATTCATAAAACTTAGATACGACCTTGCCGTTTCTTTTGAGAGACTAAAAATTTAACCTATCAGAAGCTTGCATATGATATATCGGTCCACCAAAAAGCTCCTAATAATTAGCACAACAGTAGGCCCACCTATATTCAGATCTATGAAAGATGATAATAGCAGACCTAAACTATTTTGGTTGCCTCATTGTATGGATAGTTTTCTACAAATTGAAGCAGAGCCTAACAATGAATTGTATACATCTGACCACTGCTAGCTAAGTAGTGGGTTGCTTATTCTGAAAGGAGATCAAATAGTTACATAAAACAGAGAGAAAAGGACAGAAGTACGTACCACATCATAAATATAAACGTGCTTGTCATGGGATCCCGTGTAAATATATCTCTGGCCAGTGCTGAAACATCCATGAAGACAAATACATAAATTATGCAAATTAAATAAACATCCTTCAGCTAAAAAGTAATCAGTGTCTTTGAAATCAGAGAAACATGCTCTATTGCTCCGTTACGTTTGAACTCAAACTTATAGCCGAATTATCACCATAAACAAAATTAACAATAAACTGCAGCCAGATTCCTCCTCAAATCATCATTTGTGTTCCCCCCAACCTCCACAAAACAAAATAAAACTGTAACCAGTGCAATGCTCAGAGCTGAGAGCATAGAATTTACTGAACCCCAGCAACGAATTTACTAACTCTTCCATATGACTGATAATCAAATCTAACATTGGGCCATCTATGAGTGATGTTAACCAAGTGACAAGAAACTGAAAAAAAATTTAAAGAGCCTGATACATGTGCACAAGCTCAAAAATCTCTTCAAGTTTCTGCATAACTAAAATACCAGTATCTTTGTTACACATTTTCTTCCTGTGTACTCTATCATAAGAGCTTTTTGTTTAGAAAAGAAATTTGAAGAGCACAGGTATGGAGCTTGATGCTTGGAACAAAATGAACCTCTAAACCACTTGAATCAGTTGTGTACCTCATACAGAGGCTAAGAGAGATAAGGTAATCTTTCTTCAAAATCCAACTTATTAAAGTAGACAGCATGAGGGAATCTATCAGTAATAGAGATTAGTTCAGCTAGTTTTATATTCAACCTTATTTCTCAAAGTAGGGGAGTGTTTAGGGATCTTTGAGGTATTCTTTCTGTGCAGCTCAGTTTGGAAAAGCTTCTAAAAGATTGAAGACCCTTGCTGCAGCTTTTATATTCTGGGTGATTCTTTCTTGAGAAGAGGTAGACTATAGCGTATATAAAAATGTTTTCATAGAGATGGTTGATTCTTTATGCATAGTATCATAGATGTTTTCTTTAGTTGATACTATAGGTGCCTGTACAGTACCTATTGAATCGGAGACTTTGTTTTGGGTTTGTAACCGCTTCATACTTGATATTGAATACACTGCTAGCCGTTCATGCCAAAAAAAGAAAAAGTAAAAAAAGGTCAACCAGGGTCAAATTGGTAAAGGGTCTGAGTCAAACTAGAACCATCTATATGACGGTAATCCGATCAACCTAGTTATTACAGCAGAATTCTGACTGTTGAGTTCAGGTCAGCAGGCAAGGTCGAAACTCCCAAAGACAACCGTGCTCACCTCCATGTACAGGAGACAAAAATCTAAATCAATTCGTACTTCTGATGCAGCCTGATTGTAATAACTTACATCTACCAACAATTAAAATGAGCACATGAAAGTGAGGGCATAGTGAAATCATACTTCCTTTAAAAGCACGAGTTCGGGAAAATCTTTCGGTAGACAAAAATACCCTTGAAATTAAAATACTAATCCATTAAATAAGAGTAAGTTGATAAATTGATGAATTCTTATTGGATATACATAGTATGAAGATATGGATATAGTTTAAATTGAAATGTAAACCCGAATGAAATTATTAAATACCAACTTTACAAATGTATACAAGATGAATGATGTATATGCAAAAACCAAACAAATTAACGAAACAAATAATGTCTACCCCAAAGGTCGAACCTAGGAATAACGCAGACCTACAAATGTATATAATATGGATGAGATATTTACAAACTCCACCAAACAAATTAAAGAGACAGGAGTCGATCTCAAAATTATAAAAAGAAAAATTAAAATAAATGGTTACGATCTGAGGACACAACATGACGATCTCTCACAGACTAAACTTCAAGTAGTTCACGGTACTACATAATTAGTTTCAAAGTTTAATTATACTATTATTATTTAAATAAAATTTTATTTACAATTGTTATTCTCTCACATGTAACATCACATGCCGATATATATAAGCCAAGAAATTACAATAATTTTTCTAGCACTTTCATCTCCTTCTATAGATATGTCTTTGTTATTTTCTTCTTATTAGATTAGATTAGATTAATTTAAAACAATTAATTATAGTATTTAATTTTTTCATATTAAGAAATAACAATAATTTTCACAACACTTTCATCTATTTGCTTCTTATTAGATTAGGTTAGGTAATTTTAAATTAATTAATTGTATCGTATGTTTGATCTTTTTTATATCAGAAATTACAATAATTTTCATAACACTTTCATCTCTTTCAACAAGTATGTGCCTTTGTTATTTTCTTCTTATTAGATTAGATTATTAGATTAAATTGTTTAAAAATTATGAATTATGAAATTGTAATAATTTTTACATCACTTTCATTTATTTTCTTCTTATTAGATTAAATCAGATTATTTTAAAGCAATTAATTATATTGTATATTTGATCTTTTTTTAGATCATAAAGTTTAATTATACTATTATTATTTAAATAGATACTATTTGTAATTATATTATTATTATTTAAATAGAACTCTATTTGCAAATGTTATTCTCTCACATGTAACATCACATGCCAATATTATATAAGCCAAGAAATTACAATAATTTTCATAGCACTTTCATCTCCTTCTATAGATATGTGTCTTTGTTATTTTCTTCTTATTAGATTAGATTAAATTAATTTAAAGTAATTAATTATATCGAGTATTTAATTTTTTAAATTAAGAAATAAATAATTTTCATAACACTTTCATCTATTTTCTTCTTATTAGATTAGATTAGGTTATTTTAAAGCAATTAATTATATCCTATATTTGATCTTTTTTTATATCAGAAATTTCAATAATTTTCATAACACTTTTATCTCCTTCAACAAATATGTGTCTTTGTTATTTTCTTCTTATTAGATTAGATTATTAGATTAAATTGTTTAAAGATTATGAATTATGAAATTGCAATAATTTTTACATTACTTTCATCTATTTTCTTCTTATTAGATTAGATCAGATTATTTTAAAGCAATTAATTATATTGTATATTTGATCTTTTTTTTAGATCACAAAGTTTAATTATACTATTATTATTTAAATAGATATTATTTGTATAAAAATCAAAGAGAATCTCACACGTATTTTAGATCTTAATGCTAATTGTAATACTTACATGTTAGTATTGGTTAAAATAAATTTCATGAATGGGCTTAACTTATATGATCCTACTTTAACCGGATTAGATAATTTATTTTTTCACCCAAACTCTTCTACAAAGACAAAAGAGAATAGTAATGCTATAGCTATATATATCCACAGGACTATCTATATCTTGAAAATGAACGAAGAAAACCACACAAACAAAAACCATATTAATTACCCCACACACTCACTGTTTCCAAAATCACCCTTCTCCATCTCCATCTATAATATATCCATATACCCAAATTAAGCTGTTGGAGCTTCCCCCTCATCAACTACATCATTGATCAATCCTTTTTTTTCTTTGTACTTAAATTATATAACATTCATTGTGATGATGACTCACCCGGGCCCTCTGTCTGCCCTGAACGCCCAATAAAAAAATAATGTACTAGGCCTTGCAGTTAGTTAATAATGAGGTAATGTCATTATAAATAACTTAAGTAAAGATTAATAATTCTTAAGAATGTACTGCATTCTCCTAGCTTTCACTGCAAACTTGTTAGTTGTTTATTCCTGACCCCAAGAGATTTTTAAAATTAATCTTAAGGATTGCTTGCATTAAAAAAGTTATGTTAGAAGGCTCATACAGTATGTTTAATAGTTTAAGATTGTCAACACATTTTGTCTCTGATGCATATCAATTATGAGTAATAATATAATTTCATTGATCCAAATATATCCTAATATATTTCTGGACTCTTGTCTTATCTTTTACTCTTTATTATCTACCAACCCGATATCACAATTGATATAAACAAGGAAGACACCACTGTAAAATTGTCCAAGAAAAAGATAAAGGTGGAGAATGATTGATCTCGACTCAATTAAATATGAAAAAAAGAAGGAACAAAGGATAATATTTTTTTACATATTTTATAGTAGAACTTAATTTTTTGAGTAAAATTAGGAATTTTTTGAAGGGATTTTGATGCAAAATTTTTAATATGGTTATGTGAATGATTTTGTCATATAAACTTACACTAGAGTCACCGGTAATATTTAGTATTTATTTTTTTATTTTAAGTCTATCAATAATTAAGATGTCTCGCAGTCTTGTGAAAAATATATACTCTGTGCTGAGCTTATACAAACCATCTTAATATTAAGTATTTGATTATATTTTATTAACACATCAACAATACATTATTAAAAAAAATTCAAACTTAACAATACATTTAATGACTAAGATAAACAAATTGGAGATTGATGATTTGATCCGATAAACAAATATGTTACATGAAGTTTGATATATACAAATTAAAAAAAATAATGTTGTTTATGCAAGCATATAAAAGTATATTAATCCCAGTTTTACACGTAAATCTATTTCATAAAATTTTAAAAAATATTTAAATAAAATTTATAGCAAATGTAATAATTCATGTTTAAAGATTAACTCAAAATGAATCTGACTTATTATATAGCAAGAAAATAAACAAAAAAAATAAATAATTTAGATATTTAACTACGTCCATTGCACGTGCATAAGAACTAGTTAATTTTAGTAGACAAGTTTATTACTCACCTATGTGCTGGGGAGAAATAGCAGCGTATTAAAGTACGCAGCACAGAGTGACCTCTGTAAGTAGCTAATGATTGATCATTTGGATGTCTCAAATATCTATACTCCCGTGGGTACGCTGACAATCTATAATCCCATAAAGAAGCTCTAGGTCTGGAGCTGTAAAAGTCAAATAGGAAATTGTATCAATAACCAACACTGACGCAAAAGAATGTGCTGGAATTGACAATGGCCAAGACAATAATAGAAAAAAAGAAATGCACCAAAATCATTATGCTGCTTTTGAAAACAGGTACTGCCCCTTGAAGAATTATGATGAATCAAGTTTCATGAACAAAAAATTCTATACTAGTTGATAGTGATAAGTCCATAGTACAAATGTGATTTCAGTGTGAAACCAAGAACCAAAAGGTTGTTGGCCAAGATCTTGACAGTAAAAGGCTAAAAACTTGTAGCAGTTTTCAAAAACTTCATTTGAATTCATTGTGCTTATTAAGGTGGTTGATAAATAAAGATATCAGGTTGCATTAGACAGTCCAATTTTGCGAAACATGTTTTCAGCATTCTATAGCGTGGTAACCTAATTAGAATTTATACAAGTCATTTTGACTTTGGCCACAGGAAAACGCTGAAAATTCATGCTTAGAGCAAACTCCCATGATCACAAGGACTTTGTCAGACTAGCTCAACCTGAATGAGCATTGTGTAGTAACATAGATACCTTTAACCTAATACCGTCGCAATGAAAATTGATCAGAATTCAGAGATCAAGAGACCAGTTAACACAGTTGAGCCAAAAAAACAAAAACAATCATCCAACATCATACATCTACTAAAAGAGAACACATTAGCGACAGCACAAGAAGTATGGTAAATAACACCTACCTATTAGCATCGGTAGAAAGTCTCCGGATGTCCCAAAGTTTGATACTTTGATCTTTGCCATTTGAGATAAAATAACGGCCATCTCGACGGCTATCAATAAAGGTAATGCCTTCTGTGTGACCTGACAGGACCCCTGCTGGTCCTCCTCTGGTGAAGAAGCAGCGCCTGTCCCAGATCTGGATGTTTAATACATTACATTTCTGATTCCTGAGGTAAATAGGTAGGAGGAAGAGAAAGTAGAAAAACATGCTAGGAAGCATGGACATGATGCTACACGTAATATCGTGAAGGAGCTGAAATTTAAATGAGAAAATAGCACCAACCTTTTAGTCATTATGCTACACTAGAACAAAGCCTACAATTAGTTTCCCAGAAACATAATGACTAACTTGTAATTCAGCTATAAGTTACAACAGTGAGGACACTAATATATAGAATATATGAGAAGCATTATGTTGTGAAGAATATAACAAGTTAGATTTGTATAAGTCCCAACAAATTTTCAGAATACTTATAATATATTTTACCCAAGGTTTTAAATGTCGGATATCGGATTCATGTCGGACAGCCAAAATTCATGCCGTATAGCGAAAACCAGGGATATGTCGGGGGACATATACTAAATAAGTAAATATCGGATTGCCATATCCGATGGATTTTTTTTACTCAATTTTGGTCATCAAGATGGAATGCACTTGTCTTGTTATAACTTATCCTACTTGAGTTGAGTATTCATCAAGACACGAGTCGTTTTCCATTCCTTGAAGGGAAACATTAGAATATTATGCCAACAAATAAATAAAATACACATTGTCAAACTAGAACTTTCTGAAGGGAAACATTAGAATATTATGCCAACAAATAAATAAAATACACATTGTCAAACTAGAACTTTCGAAGTGCCTTGCATAAAATTAACATAAAGTAATAAAATACACATTGTCAAACTAGAACTTTCGAAGTGCCTTGCATAAAATTAACATAAAGTAAAGTGCTATGCATAAAATTAACATAAAGTGTTAGACTTTGAATTGAATCAAGCTACGGTTCAAACTTATTGTTTACATCACGCTTTTATGTATTCTCAATTTCAATTTGTAGAGACGAAGATGAACAAGAGGAGATCGCAGTGGAAAAGAGAGCAATATTTTTTTCTTTGTCCTAATCTGTATTATATGCTATCGGGTTACTATGGGAACAAAAAGTTAAAAAAAGAATTAATCAGGTTACTTTTGACTACTAAACCCAAACCCCAGTACTTATCAACTCAAAAAAATAAAAATAAAAATAAAAAATCGGCCAATTTTTGATTTGTCAAGGCTGAAAATCCGGCAATATGTCCGCAATATCGCCCGACATGTCCGACATGGACCTCAAAAACAATATCCGACTTGAAATGGCCATATTCGTGTCGCTGACTCGCTCTAGCCTCTGATCCGACATTGTCGGCCGACATTTCTGACATGTTGGTCGACATTTAAAACTATGATTTTACCAAAGAAGAAAACATATAAAATTACAAAAATCCCTCACCAATTACAATCTACAAAATGCTAGTTTAGCATTTATTAATCAAACCTTTTACTCTTTAAAGCATCCCCACATTGTGCAAGCATCCCCACAGTGTGCAGTTGCTAATAATACAAGGTAAATACCTTCTCACTTTTGTTTTTTGCTTGTCAGGTAAATGCTCTCCACTGAGTAGATGTTCTAGCTACAAATACTCTTCCATAATCCTCAACTAGTAGTCACATCTAAGATATAAATACCATTATTTTTACTTTTCAAGTTGAAGAAACACACGCTTCTTTTGAGCATGTGTATGTTGGGGGGTGGGGGGGGGGCATTGAAATATTACCTTGCATAAAGTGTCATCACTCCCAGAATATATGAGATTCCCAGTTTCATCAGCAAAAGTCACAGTGTTAACGTCATCCTGATGAACAACAAAATGTCAATGAAACAGGACATTTGTGACTTAATGGGGCACAGCTAACACTAAACACCAAAGTTGAAATACACAGCCCAAACCACAATGACACTGGTATGTAATATCTAAACTCTTGACCCATTAAAACTTGGATTTTGCTTAGCAGTCAAGCTTTCTACAAACTAGATTCGGCTATCATACTTCAATAATAGTGAAAATTTTCTGACTATATGACAACTTTTTTATTTTTTGTGCCTTTTATTAAAACATAGCATGAAGACTTTGTGTCTTAAAATAGGAGAACTGTCTTCAATATACCAGGCATGTCTATATTTATACAATGTCTAAGAATTAAAAAAGCTCCTAAGTCAAATGCTCAAAAATTTTGTGGAGCTCTCTCAACATTCCAATTCCATAGTAATCCATAGGAAAAAGCAACATTCATAATTACTACGAACAATCAAACAACTTTAATATCTATAGAAGGGAGCTGCTAATCAATTTTTTGGTCCTTGAATATAATACTTAACAGACCATCAAAATCCTTGTATCAATTGCTCAAGGAATAAATTAACAACACTGGACTTCTAAATAATAAAATAATGTGTGAATTCTACTGTAAAGGAAGGTGCTGGTTGTCATTGCGGCTGAAATGTTTATGCTGACAGCTGCTGCCAGAAAAAACATCATGAGCCTATACTTAGTGTACAAAGATTCTTAATTGGATATGACGCCCTAATTATTCCAATCAGTTCAGTATTCTTAGGTTTTTATGTAAAATTATACAAGAAAAATGAGCTACTGAAGGAAAATCTGTGTAGAAAGGTTCCCATAGAGCAGCCCTACATCAGGGAAGCGTTCACTGATATATGGATCTCGTTAAGCATAGTCTTGGTTATCTTAGAAACTGCCAAATAAAAATTGTCAGTAAATTTTCATAAATATCAAATTTAGTTTTCAACAGTTGCAAGGAAACTCCACAACTGAAAATTAGAAAACAACCATGGCTAAAGTCATTTACTACGTCCTGCTATTCATAACTGGGTCCCTTATACTGTTCATCAATAAGGCCCTGTAGTCCATAATAACTGCAGCATTAAGAAAGGCTTCAAATGTTAAAATTCCCTAGGGAGTCCTCGTAAAATACTCTCTACTTGTGCTTATTTTCATCTCTTCTCATTGAAGACCTATGTTGCCTAGGTACGGGTACGGGTACCGGTGCGGGTGCGGGTGCGGGTACGGGACACGGCAAATTTGTAAAAAGTAGGGTACGGGGACACGGCTATATATATATATATAAAATAATTCACTTTAGATCAATATTCCAAAAGTTAAAACTATATTCCTTGCATAGGAAATAGAATAGAAAGCTCTTTTTACTTTAATTAAAAATTTAGAACTAATATTATTACCTAAATCTAAGTTGCATGGAAATTGGTACTGGTACGGGTGCGGGTACCACCGTACGGGTAGGGGACACGACAAAACTGTAAAATGTTAGGTACGGGTTCAAACTACATATATATATTGAATTAATAATGTACATGAGATAATTTTTTTCTGCTTCATGTGTCATTAGAATTAAAATTTCGATCACATTTTTGAGTTTATTTTATAATAATGATTATCGTGAATTGTAAACTACTCATTTTTTACTAGACATCTAAACAACCCATTAACTATATAGTTTTGAACTTGGGTATGGACTGAAACGAACCCGACCCGTATCCCATTAGTTTCAAAAGACGGATGTGAAGTGTAAGCTCTACATCCAGGAAGTCTTTGACAAGTGTTTTAAATTAACACATATATCGTATAATTGAGTACATGTTGTAATAAATACATGCATATATTCAAGAAGTGTCCATGAAGTTTGGGTACGGGAAAGTGTCGGGTACGTGTCCGGTACGGGTACGGCTTCAATAATGAAGTACCCGGGTAACATAGTTGAAGACAGTCCGTTTTAAATCTTAAAGTTTTATCTAAATATAATGCATCAAACCAGCTTTATTTTATCCCTTCATGTTATCAACCTGATCAGTTTTTTAATTCCAGACATATCATAAACTCACATAGCAGTTGTTCTTCTCTCTTACTTGAGTTTAGGATATGAAATATTAATGAGTTTCTTTTTCCCCTTTTAAGGCCACAAGAGAAACTCAACAACATGCATATCAACATATAAAAGAATAGGAGAGGTCTAGAAAATGTCAAAGAGGAGCTTGTATGCAATCCCTCAATAAGAGGAGGCCCAAGTTCATTTACTGAGTGAGGAACACTAAAGAATTGGTAGCCAAGCAGGCTTCACCTATGTTTGCAAACAGTGAATAACAAATTTCAAGATTTTCAGTTAAAGGTCAAACAAAAACACAATATAAAGTGAAATGGTACCAAATGAGCTTCGAAGCGAGATGTAACTTTATTTGCTTCTAGATCATAAATATATATTGCGTCATCATTACTCCCAGCAACAAGCTCTCTACCATCAGTTGAGAATTTTACAGAAAAAATTCCAAATGAGAAGTCATCATTTTCATGTTCAGAGAAGTCTAGTCCATCATGAATATCCTACATGATAGAAGGCAGTAACTTTCAGCCATTGACGTTGATGTAGCATGGATAGAGTAAGAGTGAATTCAGAAAATGTTACTAAAAGAATTAACAGTTGTTTATAATAAAAAAATGATTACAAACTAAAGATCCTGAACTAAACTGAAGTAGTAACAGAAAACTGTTGAAGCAACACACATATGTATATACATACATGTATATTAACAGTCGAGCTAGTATTCACTTAAGTTGATATAAGACCTTGTCCATCCAACTTTAATCAATGGAGAACTTGACACTTACATTGTTTCAGTTTGTGATGTTAAGAAATAAATAGGAGCACGTCATGAGAAAGCGTAAATTTTAGATGCACAAAGAAGTAACTCTAATAAATAAGTAAAACTACCAGTTTGCCCCTCAGTGAAAATGAAAACATTTTAAAAAAAAGTTTTCATTAATTTGAAAAACTATACTAAAATCCTCAGAAATATGTAAATTAAAATAATTGTTGAGACAGCGAAAAACATTTGCATATAAAATACAATGTCCTTGTACACAACTATGTAGTATATAAATGGAAATGCAAGACAATTGGACAAAAATGGCTAGTATACTGAGTCTACCAAGATTCCGGCAGTAACAATGTTATTCCTCCCAATAACATTCTTCAAACACATCTTGGTCCTGAACTGGATGGTGGTAGATATCACTATGCATTTTGGGTGATGATCTAGGTGGTTGTAGGGCTTCTTTTTATCACATGTATAATCTAATTTTAGGGCTTTTTCTCTCCTTTTTTTATCAATTATTTTCTTTTTATATTTATTTTTTTATTAAGTTGGGATGGGTTTCCTTGAGGACTTTTATGAAATAAGTAGGAGAATATTTTTTACAATATGAAAATAAAACATACAGTAATATTAGCATGTGACTCTGTTCCAGCAGTTTCTACGTTGACAATATGAACAAGTGGTGACAAACTGGAGTAGACCTGCAAAAGAAAAAGCATTAAAATTAGTTAAGCATCTCATTATACAGTTGTTGAAAATCTGCAATATAAAATGTGGTAGGGAAACATAAAAATGCAAAATAAAGCTATTAGCACCACACCTAGACTTTAAAATAAATATATGCCCTAACAAGTCAACCACTAAATAATAAATACATTTGCATTAGCAGTAGCATATACATTTTGCATGTTCTTGATGACTGCAAGTTGCAATTATAGGCTTGAGGACAAATACGTCTTAAAGCACCCCTGAACAAGAAATGTGTCTTTCTTTCTTATGTATACATCAAACATCAAACATCAAAGCATATAGCCAGCAATTTGGCATGGGAAGTCTACTGGGTGAAGAGCTTCCGCCTTTCTACTTCATATTTTGGCAAGCATTTAGGCACGAATTCTCTCAAAGCCCCAGTTCTTTTTTCAGTATCAAGTGATTTAAAGCATCCTCTTACTACAACAAGCTACAACATCTAGACTTTTAAGCAGGGGTGGATTTAGATTCATGTGTTGGTGTGCAGTTAAGTTAAGCCCCTAAAATTTGGAATTGCATATAGACTGTTGTAATATTTTCAATCTGCACCCCCCCCCCCCCCCCCGGGCAAAAAAAAAAACCAAAAAAAAGAAGGCAAAAAAAAGAGACACAGACATAAATTCTGAAAAGTGCACCCCAATCTATGTAGGAACTGAATTCGCTCATTTAAAGTGTACTGAGTGCATTTCCATTAGCTATACTTTTATAATTTTATGTTAAGAGATAATAGAACTTTGCCCCCCCCCCCCCCCCCCGACTTTTTCCCCAAGATTTTTTGGGATCTGCCACTAGCGTTAAAGTATTACTGTTGAGAGATTTTTTCTTCCTATTAGGTCTTCCTGACAACTTGACCATTACAAATTTAATTGTGTGTATGTGATGTGTGTGATGGTGTGGATATTGGGGGGGGGGGGGGGGTATGGTGGGAGACGGGCGTGCGCGTTGGCAGGCGTGAGTGTGGGTGTGTGCATGTGTGTGCGTGGGTGTGTTTGGGGCTGTGTGGTCATCTATTTGCTTATCCAAATATGTTTTATAATGAAATCTATTATTAACAGGGAAAGAATGGGCAACCAAAAGCACAAAAAATTTGGATTTCTGCCAGGTTACACGATCTCAAATTGCATGACTAAGAAGTGCAGGTTTCATACATCTGCTAATTTCCTTCAATGGTTGCAGCAAGTTCCAATCTTGTCCATGGTTGCTCAGAAAAAATTTCCAAATGTTTCATGGAAGCTTCAGTTTCAGAACTCAGATACTTTGGTGAGATAAAGGGGGAAAATACCTCGTTTACCAGGGTAAATAAAAGTATTTATCTGTTACCCTATAGTATAGGATAATTACACTTTTATCATTATTTATTAATGTAAGGGTAATAGGTCGCATATAATGAATAAGGCTAAGGATAAAGGCAAGACCCCTACCCTACATCTGGTAAGGGTAGTTTGGTATATAGGTTAAGGGTAATGGTAAAACTCTCACCTTTATCTTACCCGTTGCCACCCTAATGCATATAAATATTTGTAGATAATGCATAATACTCCAAATTGCCAGTTACCTATCAGTCTTGTAGCAAGTGTATCTCCATTCTCATGTCTTCTATTTAAGAATCATTATCTATTGTTCCGATTTCCATGTAACTCACACCTACAAGTTCCTTCAATTTATTAACACCACCTTTATGAGATTGTACCATATCATTTCACCTCCACCATTTACCACCACTTCACTTATTCAGAGACTCTAATGAATTGTGATCCTCAATGTAAGAGTAGCTTACAGAATATAATTAGCAATAATTTAGTACGGTATATCCTTAACAATTTGGATTTGGCATGAATGGGAAAAGACGCAACCAAGGTTGGAGTGCACCTAACGGACTGGAAAACTATATTACATTCTTTGACCAGAGAATACAATTTTTTTTCAATTTCTTGATACATCTACTTAACTAAAAACAACTACATCAAAACATTCATTACACGGTACTAGTTATACCAGCCAGCTTTAAAACATTAGACGTTTAGCAACGCATCATTCCCATTGTACATACCTGCTAAAACCATTTCATTCCGATTGTTAAAGAAATCAAGAAGGATCTTCAAGTTGATGATCAAATTCTGATATGATACAGTCCAAGCCTTTGAAAAACTTGCAATATGATCCCTGACCTGAAATAAGTACATATGCTTGTATATGGCCAACTTAAATACAGAAATCCCCCGAATTATGTCAAATAGGTTTCCTGATATCAGGCATCTAACTATCTAAGGGTAAATCTTACACTTTTGTCTAATTAGGTAGTTGCGCATTTCAATCTCTTCCCAGGTAATCAAAGAAATGAACTTATAAACTGGTTTTGGCTGGTCATATGGTTCAAATAATTGCAGCCACCCCACTTTGCAGATTTCTTGAGATGGGTAAGTGATTTTTGCGGTAAATTTCAGAGCAACTTTGTCATATTAAAATATAACGCGAAAAAGAAAATGAAGAATAATGACTGAAAAGGAGAGCAAAAGAGATATTATATTCTATGTTTGATATTTGACATATCCTGTCATATGATATACATGTAGATGTTGAAGAGGATGCATTCAAGCCTCAACTATTAAATCATTGGCCAACTATTAAATCATAGGCCAACCAATATTTAATGAAGAATTCTACCTTTCCATAATGCAGAGCATGCTCACGCTATATATGCTCACTAAGTATGCTTAATATCTGCAAAGCAATAATAGACATTTAGCTACATTGACCAATATGTGGGAGATATTACCAGATTACGTTGATCAGGTGAAAGGGATGTATCAGTGATTGTCCACTCCAAACTTTTAGCAATGATATCCTTTTGCAACTTCAACCCGTTGTCGACGTTGTATATTTTGATACGGCTCGCCTGTTTATGTAATTGAAACAAAAAAGGAAAAAATACACAGAGAAGGCTTAGCGATTGGATAATTGCTGAACTTAATACTTTCACTGAGCTAAAGGAAATCCCCGTGAAATTTAGGGTTAACATCTTTTTGCTTCACTATGACTTAAAATCAAGCAAAAGGAGATCTGAACTAGCAAAGGCATGATTCTTGAACTAAATTAACCTAGCATAGGAACCTCTCTACTAGCTATGATGAAGCACAAGATTATGCTGTTAAAATGGATGATGACAACATTGACAAGATTACCTACTAGCAGAAGTCTCTAACCCCGAGTAATGTGTATCTTAAACCTAAGCAATCAGTGTCAAGGTAATTGCATAATGAAGGTTTTAAAAGATGTTGCCTAGAAGTGTTTCAAATATGCAATTTCACACTTATCATACTAGCTATGCAAGCAATTCTTTTTAGTGGATAACAATGCATGCATGACCCAGTTTAGGGTTTTCTGCGTTTGATACTATGATAGTAAAGTAATACCAATCTGAAACCGCAATACACTTTACTTTATCATAGTACGTGTTCCTATACTAAGACCATGGAGCAGTTTACACCTTTTTGGTGTGGGGTTGTAAGCTTGTATGTATTACAACCATGTGCTTTATTGAATGACAGTAGGCTGGAGTTTTACTTGAAACCCCGTCCTTTTTCTCCAAAAAAAAGAAGTACTTGCTCCTATTCTTCCTATTCAAACTTAATAGTTCAATCACACATCCAGAATTCATACCTGAAACCCTGCAACAAGAACGGAACCATCAGCAGAGAACTGGGAGACGTATGCTTTACTATCCATGCCATCGAAACACCAAAGATCATTGACAGGAAGATATCGTCCGAGGACATGGGAGCAATCAGCTGAAGAAAACTTGCCCCTTCCAGACAAATTAGCTTCCCTTCCTGCTATCATCTTGGCGGTCGATATAGGCAGCTTTCTTCCATTTGGCATGCCCCTTCGCATTTTCTCGCAGGGCTCTGATCTGAGCTTGGTGAGATGGGAAATTTCATCATCAATGGTGAATCCTTCTTTCTGAATCGGTAATCTAAAAGGTTCGGTGTGATGCCTTTTCCTCTTTACTTGCATGTTGTGGTTCAATTTAGTTCACTTGGCAATCTTTGCATCAAGTCGGATTCAGAGTAACAACTGGGTTCTAATCCTTATTGAGCCCCCACCCCCACCCACACAAAAAAAATTCATATAAGTGCCTGATCCTGTGCCTGAATTTCTTGAATCCTGCAATGACGAGAATCTAAATCTAAGTAACCCTCAACAGCATAATACACTCTGATATATTCATTGAGCTAATAATCCTTTTCGCTTATCAAACTCGCGGTAAATAATGTGAAATTTCCAGTTGAAGTGTACAAACAGATCTACACAGAAATTTTCCCCAAATTATCTTGTCTAGGATTTCAAATATCGTGTACTCTAAGGTTCGAGATATACAATTACTTAACGCTGTTTTCCCCGGGAAAATAAGAAAATATATGCATAAAAGGGAGGCCATTTAGGGTTCAATACAATTCTAAGAAGCTAATAAATCAAAGTGAAAGTTTTCAGTACAAATTCCAAGAACGAACAAGGGATCCAAACATTAGAATGCATAAACGGTACTACAAATTAGATTTCCAGTTGGAAGTGTACAAATGCATAATCACCCACAGCGAAATTTTCATCAAAATTAAATTTTGCTCAGGAATTCAACTATCAGCTACTCCAAAGTTCAAGAATTATAACCACTGAATCAAACAAGATTGGTATTCTTCTACGTCGCAGCATTAGAAGCAATGTTACAAGAAACTGATCAGATTCGAACAGTTTCAGTACAGTTTCAGTGACCGACACTAAAATCATTCGAATAAATTTGAAACAGAGCGTCGATTTACCTTCAACAATCGAGCTCAGATTAGGGTTTTTGAGGTCATCGGTTAGAATTTTTATTGGACAAAAAACCTCCAGAGAGAGAGAGAGAGAGACGGGAGGAGACTCAGTATGACGCCATATAATTGGAAGGGTTTTTGTCATATTAGACCCCAAATCCTTGTTAATTGTGTACTCAGCCATTAAAAATCTTCATATTTTTAAATTTAGACCCCTACAATTAGGGGTGTGGAAAAAGATTTGTATGCACGGATATATCTGTGGATACGGATATGATTACTAAAATATATAACAAATATGAAAGGGTTACAGGTTATAGTTAAGTAGTAACATATTAGGATATGTATTCGATATATTCGAACATATGACTTTATGTTGATCATAATGCTGCAATTGTTTTAATTCTTCGATTAATTAATTTGAGACTTTTTTTTATGATCAAAAAATATAATCTTAGTTTTTTAGGGTGAAATCATGTATTTACAATCCGTCTCTCTACAAATTTAAAAAAAATTGCACCTCAATGCTCAAGCTATTTAAAAACACTAAAGAAATTGGTAAAATTTGAATTTGTTTGTTAGAAAAGTCATTTATTAGTCATTTCCAATTATGAACAAATTTTCGAATTAAACTCATTGCGAATTTTTTTAAAAAAAATCGAACCTATCCCCTTTTTTTTACAAGAATCGATCCACTTTGGGGCTATGTCAGCATCGTGGCCCCAAAGCGGGACAGTTTTTTTTAACCATGTTACTAAATATTCAGGGTTACCAACCCCGATTATTTAAAACGCCATGACTAATATACATGCTAAATTAGTCGGGGTTGGCAACCCCGACTAATTTAGCACACTGTCTAATTGGTCGGGGGTGGGAACCCCGACCAATTCGAAAGACTTTTTTCTAAACTTTTTTTTATACAAATAAAAGATATGCAGATATGAAAAAGGTACTTTCTGTCCTACCTACCTTAAACAATTGAGAACGAAAAAGCCGGAGGGCTAGATATTTTAACGTCATTTTCCTTGACTATGTTTTTGTTTGCAGTGGGCTACCAGCTATTCGTAGTTAGGTCCTATACATGTGCCCTATATTAGAAAAAGACTTTCGAAATTGGTCGGGGTTCCTAACCCCGACCAATTAAAAAGCGTGTTAAATTAGTCGGGATTGGCAGCAACGCCAATTATACATGGATCCTAAAAATAGTCGGGGTTGACAACCCCGACTATTTAGTAACGCAATTAAAAAAATCAGCTCGCTTTGAGGCCACGATACCGGCGTGGCCCTAAAGTGGATCGATATTTGTAAAAAAAATAGGATAGAGTCGGTTTTTTTTTTTAAAAAACCGGAATGGATTTAATTCGAAAATTTGTTCTTACAATTATCTATGTTTGTGGGACTGATACGGTAATACCTTAAACCCCTTTCCGGTAAATTTATTTTTTGTTTTTTATTTTTTTATTTTTCAGTTGGATCGCCCAACAAAATTGAACTCACTTCATACTAAATCCAAACCCGGATCCGGGTCAATTAAACCCAAGCACCCAAACCCGATAATCCGCCCTAAAACCCTAACTTCTCCTTCTTCACAAAAATCCTCTCTTTTTTCATCTGCCGCCATCAAACCCTAAAAAAATGGGGAAAGCGGCGAAAACCTCACGAAAGGGGAAAAAAGCATGGAGGGCTAACATCAAGACCGACGACATCGACGATTATTTCGTGAAGAAGACCAAAGATTCGCTCTGCGGAGCTTCTGATCTCGCCGAGGCCCCCATCGATTCCATCTGCTTTGATGACAAATCCCAATCTACAGGTACTTTCAATCTTTAGGGTTTGAATTTAATGTGAATTGTTTAGGGTTTGGTTATGAATTATCAAATTTTGAGGGTTAGAAGAGTTCAATTTGGTATTTTGCTGAAGGCTGCGGAGTTGGGAATATGTTAGGGGTTTGAATTTGATTTGAATGCTTTAGGGTTTGGATGTGGGTTGGGGCATTAGATGGTGGTACATACTGGCTGTAAAAATTGGTTCTTGTAGAAAGCATGTATCTCATTTTAGATTAGATATGTCACCATTTATCTATTTTCTTATACAATTTTATGGCCCTATTATCAGTTTATGTAATAAAAAAATCCAAGGATATGGAATCGCTAAATGAATTGATCAAATGGAAGGGGGGAAACTAGCCAAGTAGTGAGGCTTATCATTTGAAGCATAACTTTTATTTCCTAATAAAATTTAATGGTTGGGATATACAGCCTATTTCAGGAATCCAATTTTTTAAAATACGACTTAAAAGCTAACTTATTTGATATGTCACTAGACATGGATAAGTTAGCTTAAAAGTTATTTTGGCCAAAAAATAAGCTCCCCCGAACACCCTCAGTAAGTGGCTTGGTCTAGGTGTCTCACCAATAGCTTGAAACTTTTGAGGTATATAAGAGAATGAGTTGTTATGTCGCTTCCTGAAATCTTGAAATCTCCACGGGAAGGAAAAACTTATGTTTCTTTTCTTGTTTTCCTTGAAAAAAATGGATGTTATACTTTTTTGTGAAGTTTAGATTTCCTTAATAATTTATATAAAGTTATTTCACTGATAAGTTTGTGTATAACAAGTTAATTATCGAAGTCCTATTTGGAACTTTAACTGAACCCATGTTTTGCAAAACAGTTGGGTAAAGGCCATTGTCTATCCACATACATATGGACATGTATATGTACACATATACGTGTGCACGCGCACAACACACTGTGTGCACACCCGTCTATGCGTGCGTGTCTGTGTATGCGTGAATTGATGGGAGAAAATGGTTGTTGATAGTTTCTAATATGTATGCTATGATTTGAAAATCTCCTGTCTTATTATTACTGTAGCATCCAACGAATATGTTGACTCAAATAAAATTTCTTGTACAATTTGTTCCTTAACATGTCTAGAGGCTGTTAGGGATCTTCTGCTGGATGGTTGGAGATAATTCAACTTGTGATTAATTTTAATTATTTGGCTGACGGCTCTTGCAATTTGGATATTTTCATTCCATTCCCTTTGAGCCCAAAGGAATCACAGAATGATTTTTATTGTGCCTCCACCCTCCCTTAAAACCCCCAGCTTCCTTTTTCTAATGAGATATTCGTTGGGGCTTGTCACAGTTGTTTCAGATATCCCTGTCAAACGAAAGATTGAAAAGCGTAGGGAGAAAATCCTCCACCATGAGAGAGTACTGGAAAAGAATGCATATGTGAAACCCGTGCCATCTTCAACTTTGAAAAAGTGCAAGAAGAAGAAGAAGGATTTTGCCAAATCAAAATCCGAGACTCAAAATACCTCTAATGTGTGTAGTTAATTCGGAAATCCCAAGGTTGTTTTCTTTTGATTATTGTCATCTAATATTGAATTCATCCAGGATGGGGATATAGCTCCTGCTGTCGTTGACATATGGAATGATAAAGGTTCTTTTCTTACAAACTGGACATCGAATTTCCATTTACAATTTCCATGCTGCATTAAACATTTTTTCTTTTCTGTTAACCTTTGCAGGTGAAGCAAATGTGAAAGCAAGGAAGGTTAGCAGAATTTTTTTCATTGTTTTAATTTAATTATTTAAAGTCAATAATATCCAGAATTTTATTATTAACATATATGCTTGGTGTGGAAGTTTTCATAATCTTTACTGGTCTTGACACTTCCACCTGGATGTTCTTTCAATCCTCCATTTGAAGCACATCAGGTATGGTGTTTTAACTCTATATTCTCTCCCTGTTCTCCAAAAGTTACGGAAGGTTCATAACTTTGTGTTGTTTTAATATGGTCAAGCAAGCTTGATCCACCTTTTTATAGTGTTATTTCTTCTCTTTATTGCTGCTTGTTTTTCACTGTATTTCTGATGCTTCAGGATTCATTGGCCCAAGCTGTTGCTGATGAGATGCAAAAAGTTTATCAAAAAGAGTTGGCACCTCAACCAGTGCCCCTTGTAGTTGCTGGCGAAGTATTTGATGAAGAAGATGTAAGTAACGAGTTAACTTTTGTACTTGTATAGTCATTCAGAACACTAAATTGGCATGGTGCCTAAATTTTATCTATGTCAATACAACTCTGGTGCAGGACATATGTTTTCTGGTTCTTGACTTAAACTTGGACATGCATATTGTATGCAGATTATATAAGTACTTGGAGTTGTTTCGTATGCACATGACATCTTTGTACCATGCCAATAAACAGTTGTTCTTGATAAGATTGGCTCTACGGTAGCATATTGCTTTTCCAAATTACTTTTTCAACCAGTATCTACTTTCTCATGAGAGCTTAGTTACGTTATGTTTAGGTTTGAAAGTCAGCATTCATCTGAAATCAAGCTGTAGTATGTTGATGGTTGTGGTTGTCCATGCCAAGTTGAATGTGATTGGCATGTAAACAGAAAAGGGAGCTGAGAGGAGGTGAGGGATAGGTTCCTCCTTAGCTTTCATATATCATTTTAAATCTATGGGGTTGTGAACTTAGAGATCCACATCTTCTAGGTGGTGTAGCAAGGCTGAGCGACAGCTCCAATAATCCAATCTTCCATTCCTCTAAAAAAGAGAGGAAACTCCAGCTGCCAGTTCCAACTTCTTAATTGTCAAACTTTCATTTATTTTATGTCATCTTGTACCACCCATCTACTTTGATGAACTATTATCGGGGACGGCTAAAAGGGCTAGACATGTTATAGCAGCATGTCATTTTCAAACTTTGAAATGGTGACACATGTACTAGAATAATGCAATCCAAAGGTAAATTTACCATACATATCCAAACTTTTCCGACTTTACAGCTATGCGCTGGTTTAGCTTGGTTGAATTATAATTGCTATCCATTAATACTTCTCTACTAATTTCTGAGAATATAACGTGGCCTTATCTCATAATGCCAGAAGATGCATGTGAGGCAAATATTCATTTCATATATAGTCCCCATGACTATGGAGCACTTTAGTGAAAAGAAATGCTCTTGTGAAAATCTATAAGCTTTCATCTTTCATTCCAGTGCCTCTACTTGTACAAAACAGTACGTACAAGTTGTTCGAGTTTAGTTTTGCCTGTATTTACTTTCAGAAATCAGAATGCTGACTTGAAATTGGTTGGTCTATATTGAGATTAACCTAAATGCAAAGTAACATTGCTGATCCCTAGATTTACCAACTGAACTTGTCATTGAGTTGGTGCCTGGGAATACATGTGATTCAACTTGGTCCCAGTTGCAGCGCAAATATACATAAAAACAAGCATGGTTATCATATCTAGGTTTACATAAAAGACCTTGGTTCTTTTTAAATGAATAAATATGAATTTTGGTCCCTACAGAAGCCAGGACATGTAATTGAATAGAATGAATTGTGTTCCTCTTATTGATATGTATATCCTTTATGTCGATATATTGTGTTAATGGACATTAATAAATGCCTTTAAGACATACTGCTCTTTTTTTGTGTTTGCCAATTTCTCACTTTTAGGTTAGGGTCGGTTGTAGTATTAACTCTTTTATGTTGTTATCCACGACTAATTTAATGAATTTCTATATTTATGCGGATTCATCACCCATTTCATTTTCCTTTCAGAAACTTTTCTTGGATGCAGATGGTGGAGACGAGAGTGATCTGGGAGAGGAGGATATGGGCAATGATGGTGGTGAACAACTTGCAGACAGGTCCGTAGTTCTCCTTTCTCCCACATTCATGTATTTATTTTCATTAGCGATTAAGTGGCGAAGAGGAATGATGATGTTAGTTTTATCATTTTGATCTGCTTGAGGTTTTCCTCATGCAACAAAGTCAATATGATGTCATTCGTAACTTTTGGCAGCATCTTCCACAGATAGGTTTCTTGTCATAGTTAAAATGTTGAAAGACTGCGTCCAGAAGTACCCAACTTGGGATTATCCAAAATTTGGCAAAAAATTCTATATCTTCTTGCTTTTTTTTTCAAGTATATTTTGGTGCTTGTATACCAGTTAGTCAACCATCAACAGCTTGGAAGAATGACTTAGACCTTTAGTTGACATGCTGGTTCGGTTATATCTTGCTGTTATGTTAATACATTTGTCTACTTTAGTCATGCTTGTTACACTGCCATTTTTTGTCCATGCTGCAGAAAACCAAAAGAAAAGAGAGTTACAAGAGTAGTGCAAAACCGAAGAAACAGGCGCAAAGAGCAGCTTAAAGCAGAAGAAGAGGCAAAGAAGAAGGATAATTTTTCGAAAGAAATTGATAGGTATTCTTCTTCACTTTTTCCCGTTATTTTTCGGATCATCTGTTACCTTGAGCATTTTTAACTTGGATGAAGTCTGGTCTGTAGTTTATCAGATATAATGAAAGAAATAGCAGAAGAGGATGAAGATAAAAAGCGAAGACATCTGAGGCGTGAAGTAGCTAAGCAAGAAAAACTTAAATCTGGTCCTCCTCGCTTGGGAAAGCACAAGTAAATTTCTAATCTCAGCTCGTCATCAATCTCTATCAGACGATATTATTAAAGAAGGTTTTTTATTGTAGTCCCTTAAATCTTTCATATTTTGAAATTGGTTCCCCAAATAGTTGAAATTTTTTTTGGGTCCTCCAATTCTCATGAGTTGTTTCAAATTAATCCATTTTTTATACTAGTCCCTTAAATCTCTCATATTTTGAAATTTGTTCGCCAAATAGTTGAAATTTCCTTTAGGTCCCCCAATTTCTACGTCTCTTGATTGTGGGGAGTAAACAACTTATTAGAATTGGGGGACGTAATGGCAAGTTCAATGATTTTAGGGCCTTGTTTCGATATATTGAAATTTAAAGGACTAATATTGGGAAAAGCCTAGGAAAAAAAATAAAGGCTTGTTCCTTATTGTTTAATTTTTACTATTATTTTTTTAGTTAGTTTCTTATGTGCTCCAACTAGTAATTCCCCTGCCTTCCAGGTTTAAGCCAGCTCCCATGCAAGTTCTTTTGACGGAAGAAATTTCTGGGTCTCTGAGAAAGCTGAAGGTTGGCTACATTTCCTTCAATATCATTGCATTCGAACTAAACTACACTTTCCAAGCTACTATTAACAAAAGTGCCGGGTCCTTCCACTTGGATTGCCATCAAACTTGATGAGTCATCAAGGACCCTGCAACCTTTGGAGGTGGTAGTTTAGGAGTAGGGTCGAAAGCGTAATCTAGTCATCAAAATTCAAACTAAAAAACTGACATTTCTGTATATATTCCGTTATAGGCTTGCCCCACTCTAGTGAGGGATCGGTATAAGAGTTTTGAGAAGCGTGGTTTACTCGTCCCTAGAGCTAAATAAGCAGGTATTTGTCAAATTCTCTCTTTTTTGGGTTAATTGCGGATGACCCCCTTAGTTTGATGATAGACCCTCTGAGCGAATTTTTTTTCCTCGCTCATTTACCCTCAGGCGGTAGATTTGTCAAATGACAAATTTCTTTCTCCGAGGGTACAAGAGTCGCAAAAAAAAAAAGCTCATTTACCCTTAGTTTTAATTTATGAATTTTGTTGAAGACACTAATAATAACTGATATGCTCTTATGAACAGGGGGAGATTTTCGATGGTTCGATCTGAGTCGTTGCTTTTGGTGTTTTGATCTGGGTGCGTCTTCGTTTCAATAGTTCTGATGTACGCAGACTATTTAAGTATGTGCTTTCGTTTGTTGATGAAGAAATATCCAATTTTTGCATGTGGCTACCCCCTTTTTTAATCTATTTTCTATAATTGGAAAAAAAAAGAAATTTCTTTCCATTCGCGCTATTGCTTCACATAACCGCAGAACATGCAAAATGGGGCGTACTTGAATGTAAAGTGATCAGAAAATCGCCGCAGGCGTGCGAGATTGACAGATAACCCCCCAAGGTTGTGAAAGAAAATGAAATTTTAACGTTTTTAGTCTCCAGTCTAATAATCGTCACCTTTTTGATGTAGTGATCATTTTTTTCAATAGAATAATGAACAATTTTTCAAAACAGCTCTATTTTAATTTTTTTTTTAAATCGACCGTTTTTTTTACTAAAACCAACCTATTTTTTGCCACGTCAGCCTAATTATTTTCCTAAACAGTCGGGGTTATCAACCTCGACTGTTTAGGACATGATTTTTTAGGGTTTAAGGTTTCTAATTAGGGTTTAACACCCTCCTAAATAGTCGGTGTTTGTAATTCTGACTGTTTAGCAAAGTGATTAAGCTGACGTGGCACAAAACGGGTTGGTTTTGATAAATAAAAAAAATCGCTCGATTTAAAAAAAAATTGATATGGGGCTGTTTTGAAAAATTCTTCTAGAATAATCATACATGTGCTTGCGCTTCAGTGCGTGTAGTTGTCATATTAGGCTCTATATTCAAGTTAATATTGAATTATGAATATTCTATTTCAACAAAGATTTTCAATATTCTAATTCGACTTTATGCAATATTAGGGATGATGATGGCGTTAAGGTTTCACTCCTACACAATTTTTTAGGATCTTGGGAAAATTAAGAAAATATATATTTTAATCTTAAAAAAGTAATCTCTATAACAAATGTACGACATTGACCAATGCATCACGGATCAAATCTTAGAAAGTAACTTTTTCTTTTCAGTTCAGCATATTTGTCTGGGCAAAAGAAAAAATAAACAAAAAAATTGCATACTATTGGAAACAGCGGAAATTCGCCGTGTCCTCAAACAACATGAACTGCAAAATTACAATTTTAAGATTGGGAATGACAAATTTTCAGAAACACTGGAAAGTACGAAATTTTGAAATTTTCGTACAATTAAAAAATAATAAAAAAACCTAAATTAACGAAAAGTTATTTTTGCTATCAAACAATTTTGAGTATCGCTTTTCCTTGTATTCCCCTTTTTCGACGCGCAATTCACTTTTTTAATCAAAACCTTCTTCCTCCTCTCTTTCATCATGGCTATCATGAGGCCTTGTAAACTTACAATTTGCACCCTACAATTTTAAAAAAATTGCACCCCCATTTGAAATTTGGCCCATTTAAGCTAAAATTGTATTTGTCATGAATTTTTTTATAATGTTGTATATTAATTTTTGTGTAAATAGATGCTTGTTGTCCACCTCTCTTAAGGCAATTTTTCTAAATCCGCTACTGACGATGACGATGATCCCCAATAATAAGTCTCCGACCATTAATGTTCATCAAAAATATCGTCGAAATATATTAAAGGCGTATAATAAGCAAAAAATAATAATACCCTCAAAAACTTCCATGTAGGAATCGATAGAGTTTATGACTATGGAATAAATAGATGTATGCCTATTATGTTTAATATATAATGTACAATGTTCAACACTGATTAAATTGGATTTTGAGTCTTGCCATTTAATTTAAAACCAAATAGGGACACAAATCATATGAGAGCAAATTTAAAGCTTTTTTAATTAAGTTTGGTTGCCAACATTAATAAATCAAATAGTCGGGGCCGGTTAGAATTTTTATTTAAGATATATTTACAAGAGATGTTAAAGATATGATAGTTTATGGTTTTAATTAGAGGTTTGGAATCTGGATTGAACTGCTGACCAAATTTAAGAAATTTGTGAGAAGGTCAAGGGTATTTAAATTTTAAAGTTTTAAAATGACAAAAGTGCACAAAATAATAATATATTATGAAATGCACAGGATTTTAAAGTTTTAAATTTTTTGATTTTAGGAATGTACTTTATTACCATGGAGATAATATTATATTCATTTTCAATGCTTTTCTATCACAATTAGGTAACAAATACTGAAATATACTTATAGTGGCAAAATATTTCTCTATTTCAACAAAAGATTTTTCATTATTCTAATTCGGACAGAAAGTTTTTAGCAAGTATCGTATTATATTATGCATAATGGTTTCACTTTTGCACTTAATTTCTGAGACCTATACAAAAAAAATTAATATACTTATCTCTTTAATAAGCTATAATATATTATACATTATGGGTTTTTTTTTCGATTTGTGCTATGCCATATATGGCAAACTCAAATAGCATTGTGCAAGTAAAAAAAGGAAAAAAAAATATTGCATATAGTACTAGAAACAATGGAAATTCACCGCCACATATTATTATAGTAGACGAATTATATGAACTGCCGAATTACAATTTCAAGATTAAAATGTCCAAAAGCCCCCGAAAAAAGAAATAAAAAAACGGCACGTAAACAATTGAAACTTTCTGTCAAATAACTACAAAATTAAGCATCCTTATTGCTTTTCTTCATGTTCCTTGTGATCTTCTTCTTCTTCTTCTTCTTCTTCACCTCCCTTATCATCTTCTTCATCTGGAATTTCTGCGATAATTTCTCGAACATATTTAAGGCAAAACTTAACGCCACGACGAGAGCTCAGCCCCGCGGCCGCAACATAGAAACTTACACGGCGAAAATCACGTGCAAGCGATGAGCATATCTTCTGCAGTTCTTGAAAAGCCCTCTCTTCGAGGTCTTCGATGGCGGAATCGAGGGACGAAGCAAGGGACTTGAGCTTCTCCTTGAATTCCAAGTTGACGACCAAGACTACGATAAAGACCAACACCAATGTAGTATAGGCGAAGAGCGTTTGAAGGAGGGACGAAGATTTGGAGATGAGACCTTTGGTGGAGGTTTTCAATATTGCTCCATATTTGGTTTCTTTTTCTTGTTCTTTGATCGAGTTATTCGTTAGGGTTTGTGATTTGATGGCTAA